TGCCCAGGCCGAGCCGGGTCATGCTGCTTGCTGCTGCCTTCGCAAGCTGGAAGGCTCCCTGGGGGTTTAGGGTTTTGGATTTAGGGTAGGGTTTAGGGTTTAGGGTTTTGAGTTTAGGGTTGAGGGCCAAAGATTTAGGGTTTTGGATTTAGGGCTTTGGATTTAGGGTTTTAGAGTTTACGATTTTACGGTCTAGGATTCAGGGTTTAGGGTTTAGGATTTGGTTTGGAGACCCCAAGCCCGAAACCAGAAACCCTAAACAGAGGATGGAGACAGGAAGCAAGCCCCTCCCCCCCCCCTGCGCCCTAAACCCTAAACTTCTAAACCCTAAACCCCTAAACTCCTAAACTCCTAAACCCCTAAACCCCTAAACCCCTAAACCCCCAAACCCTACACCCTAAACCCCTAACCCCTAAAGCCCTAAAGGCTTTCAACTCTTCGAGGTGGAAGCTCCTCCTTCGTGCAGCTTTTAAAAGGTTCCTTTACTGGGACTGGGTAGCTCTCTACATTAGGGTCCCTTTTCTGGTCCCCAATTTAGTACGGCACCCTTATAAAAAAAACGACCCCTAAAAGAAAGGACACTAAGAGAAGAGTTTCGGCAAGGGTTCGATAAGGGCACTGCACGGATACCGTAAGGGGCAGCGTTTGTATGCAAACCCAAAAAGCCCATACCCGTAGACCGAAACCCTTATCCCTAAGGCCCTAAACCCTAGCCCTATTATAAACCCTAAAGCCCTAAACTCGAAACGCCGAAAGCCTCGCTTAGGCGAGCAGTTAGGAGCTTCGATGTGCAGCACGGTCTTGCAGGGCGGGGCCAGGAGACAGTAAGCGCAGCGAGTGCGAGTGCCGGATTTAAGAGAAAAGCGGTTCGGACACATTCGGTACTCTCGGAATACCGGGTACCCTTTTAAAGGATCCTTACGATAATCGGAATCCCACGGTTGATGAAATCCTGCATTACCCATAATAAGGAATATACCATAATTCCCATAGTTCAGTGCCCTTAAGGTAATGCAGGATTTATATCATCAACAAACCCGAAACCCCAAAACCCTAAATCCATAAACTCCCTAAATCCTACTATTCCTGGCCTCTCTTGTAGCGTCCCGGATTCTTGAAGCTCCCATGCGGCCAATCTCCGAGCCAAAGGCGCCTACAGCCACGAAGCCCCAAACCCCACGACGTCCTCAACCCTAAACCTTTCCTTATAACCCCAAAGAGCCTACCTTTCTAAGGGATTATATAAAGAAATTATAATAAGGAGCCGTAAAAAGGTAGGTTATTTGGGGTCACGGTAAACCCTAAACCCTCAGCCCTAAACCCTACCCTAAGCCCTAAACGCCTTAACATCCCTCAACCCTGCTACCTGAAGCCTGGACTCTCAGCCCTCAACCCTACAAAACCAAGCCTTTATCAACTGTAAATCCTGAAGCCTACCCATCCTAAACCCTAAGCCCTCAAACCAAATCCCCAAACCCTAAGCCCTAAACCCAAATCCCTAAGCCCTAAACCCAAATCCCTAAGCCCTAAACCCCAAGCCCTAAGCCCTAAACCCTAACCCCCAAGCCCTAAACCCAGATCCCTAAGCCCTAAATCTTAAGGCCTACACCCAAAGCCCTAAGCCCTTCCCGAGATCGGTCTTCGCCGGGCGCTTGCAACACCTCTGCTGTGGTGGATGGGTCTGTGCGCTGCCAATGATGGAACCCTCAAACGTTTGGGTTTAGGGTTTAGGGTTCAGGGTTTAGGGTTCAGGGCGCCACGGTTTGAGTCCGTGGGGGTTTTGGGCCTAATGCAGGGCGCTCACTAAACAGAGCAGGCTTCCTTTGATAAGGGTAGTATAGGGGTCTTGGTGATTAGCCTAAGGCTTTGGGTGCGTTATGTGTTGGAGTTGGGCATATATTTATGTAAGGAGTCAACTGTGTTCTTTTTGGGAAACTCGAACTAAATTTCCATAATAAAGATGGCTTACTATAGTCATACTGTGTTTGTTGTGGCAACTGAAATTAGCTTCTTTCTCTTGCAACAACAACCCAGGCAAGGTCCCACAAAATAGTACGAATCAATCCTCGTCTTTTCGGTACGTGCTATCTGCCCTCCGATTCTGGGCTATCGCTGGGGTACTTCGATTCAGGGCTTTCGGGCTGGACGCGCGTCGCTCGGCAGCCTGTAATTCGTCACTCCTTTCGGGATCAGCAACTCCCGGGTGTACAAAGTCATGGCTAAGTCTCCGGCAAGCTGCCCAGAGAACCCAATACCCCTTAATTAAGGAATATACCTTAAATCATAATATCAAGGCCCCTATAATTTAAGGTATATTCCTTATTTAAGGGGTATTGGGATCTCTGGGTGCAAATCCCCAAGGCCTCCACAGAGTCGCCACCTGCATCTGAGGAGTAACATCAACGGCCAGCTTTGCCGCGAAGTGGAGTGGTACAGCTGCTTGTCGTCGTAATGACTACCACTGCTACTACTACTCCCCTGCTGCTGCTGCTGCTGCTGCTGCTGCTGCTGCTCCTGCCACTACTAAAAAACAACGACGACGACGACGACTACTACTACTACCACCACTTTTCCTGCTGTGAAAACTTCTACTGCTGCTGCTGCTGCTGCTGCTACTACTACTACTACTACTACTACGACGAAGACTACGACTACGACCACGACTACGACTACGACTACGACTACGACGACTACGACGACGACGACAACGACGACGACTACTAGTACTACTGCTACTGCTACTGCTACTACTGCTGGTGATCTACTACACTTCTCAGTAGGGGTAGCCGACGACCCTGAACCCCCATCCGTTGGGCCGTAACATGTAGGTCGGAAAATCAGTCACGACATCACCTTGTAGCCGCATTTAAACCCCCATCAAGAATCAGACAGTAACACATACCCCAAAACCCGAGTCTAACCGCCTGACCGCTAAGGCCCCAATAATAGGGCGTAAGTTTGCCAAGGCTGGTATCTACACCCGCTTCGCGCTCGGCAGCTTGCGACTTTGGGTTGAATCATCTCTACCCTAGTATAGGACCCTAAATAGTAGGATAATAGTAGGATCCCTGTTATAATGACCCCAAAATAGGGTACCCTAATATAGTATGGTCTGTGAGCAGGGACTAAGGAATTTGAGCATACCAGGACCTTCTTTGTACCCTGAAATAGGGGTATATGGTCCCAAATTTATGGGCATTTAGGGTCTAATAGAGGGTAGATGGAGGGTCTAGGTATGTTCGTTTTGCGACTGTGTCAATGTCATAAGTTATAAGGGGTCTACAGTGGATCCTAATTTCGGGAATTCCCCCTTCTGCTCCATTCAGGAAGCTGGTGTTAGACAGTACCATGGACCTGCTGCGTGGCAAGACCTTTCGCGCCCTACGCGGCAAGCGCTCCGCTGATTGGGACTGGGACATCACGCAGCGCCGGCAAAGACAGCGCCCTCGGTTCCTTGAATTTAATTCAGCACGTCCACGCACAGCATGGCTTCTAACGAGCAGGTCTGATGTTGAACCGTTCCTTCTTCAAGCATTCCCACTGGATCTGTTTATGTTGACTTGTTTCCACGTGGCAGATAGGCTGCGCAGGTGTCCTTCCTCAGCCCCAAACCGCAATCCATTGTCCCGTGAATTATGCCCCGACACCCAGTCCCCAAGAAAGGCAAAGAGCAGGTGAAACCTAAACCCTTCAACTATAGCAGTCGTACAGTATAGTCTAACAGTCCCAAACCCAAACCCAAACTGAGGCCCCTAAACTATAGTATAGTCGTACAGTATAGTCGAATAGTCCCAAACCCAAAGCCCAAACCAAGGCTGGAGTAACCCTAAACCCGAAACCCGAAACCCTAAACCCTAAAGCCTAAACCCTGAACCCTAAACCCTAAACCCTAAACCCAAGCTAAGGCTGGAGTACGTTTGGGTGGAGCCTGCCTCGGAACTGACTGGGGCCGAGGAATCCTCGGGCGAGTCGCGAGGTGATCTGCCCTGCTCCCTCTTGCAGCTTTTGGAGAGTTTGGACAAGGACTAACGAGGGTTTAGGGTTTAGGGGCTTTTGGAGAGGTTGGACAAGGACCAACAGGGGAGTTTAGGGTTAGCATTGCAGCTTTTGGAGAGCTTGGACAAGGACTAACGAGGGTTCAGGGTTTAGGGTTGCAGCTTTTAGAGAGGTTGGACAAGGACCAACAGGGGTTTAGTTTATAGGGTTTAGGGCTTAGGGGCTTTTAGAGAGGTTGGACAAGGACTAACGGGGGTTTAGGGTCTAGGGCTTAGGGTTTATAGGGTTTAACTATTGCAGCTTTTGGAGAGTTTGGACAAGGACCAGCACAGGGGTTTAGGGTTTAGGGAAAGGAGAGGTTGGACAAGGACCAACACAGGGGTTTAAGGTTTAGGGTTTAACTATTGCAGCTTTTGGAGGGTTTGAACAAGGACCAACAGGGGTTTAGGGTTTGGGGCTTAGCATTGTAGCATCTTGGCTGGTCTCCTCCGGTATGTGTCGAGGAGTTTGAGACTTGCTTAAAGGATCCTTCTAGAGGACCCCGACACGGACCCTAAAGCCCTAAATCCTCATAGAATGGTTGCTCTAATCTCCCCGTCAAGTCTTCTAGGGTGCCCCTAAACCCTAAACCCAAACCCTGAACCCTGAACCCTGACCCCTAAACTAGGTTGGTCTTAGGAGGCAGCCCGTAAACCCTAAACCCTATAAATCCCAAACTCTGAACCTTTAAAGGAGGCAGGATTCGAGCTCGCTCCCGACATGGCTCTGGCCTCTGCTTTCGACTCTTTGAAGCTCACGGCTCTCGTGGGGAAGATGCGGCGAACGCAGGCCCCGAAGCTCTCGCTGAGGGATGCCCTGGCTTGCGACACGGTCCTGGATTTCTTGAAGCTGGGCTCTTGTTAAGGGATTTAATTTTAAGTTACCATAATAAGGAAACCGTTTTTTGTTGTATAGACCTCTATTTATTATGGTAATTTAAATTAAGTCCCTTAACAAGAGCCCAGGAAGCTTCTTGCAGCGGGGAGCGGTGGAGATCCAACGGACAGGGCGATGTCCGCTGCGCCCAGGGGCCACGCCGATTCTGACTTCCGGGTGCGGGAGTGGCCCTACATGTTTTCGCTGTCTGTCTGCTGGGCCCTGGACTCAGAAGAGCCTGGGTCCTTGCTAGGGGATTTAGTTTAAGTTACCACAATAGGGATCTATACTAAATAGTATGGTTTCCTTATTATGGTAACTTGAAAAAATCCCTTTACTATAATATTATTATAAGCTACCATAATAGGGATCTATATACTAAACAATATGGTTTCCTTATTATGGTAACTTAAATAAAATCCCTTAATATAAGTTACCATAATAGAGATCTATACTAAAGAATATTGTTTCCTTATTATGGTAACTTAAATCAAATCCCCTAACCAAGAGCCCAGGAGCCTGTGCAGAAGGACGTGCTCTGCCGCACCCTGCAGAAGCTGAAGCGGAAGCACGGAGCTTTGCGCGTGCAACTTGCAGACCCGCCTGCCCTGTGGGATTCTTAGTAGCTGAGTAGGTAGCCTTTAGCCTTTCTGGGGCTTATATTGTCCTACCATAATTGAAAGGTTAACCTTTTTTTGAGTAGCTTTTAGCCTTTTTGGGCTTTTATAATCCTACCATAATTGAAAGGTTAACCTTTTTTCGGGCAAGGGTACTAAGCCCCTAAGGATTTTGCAATGGACGCCGCTTCGAACCTCTCCTTCTCCAGAGCCTTAGTTCTCCAATAACCCAACTTTGTTTAAAAGTTTTTTGGGGCTCTTATATAGTTTAGTATAGTAGTCTGAAAGTAACCCTAAACCCTAAACCCGAACCCTAAACCCTAAACCCTAAAACCCTAAAGCTCTAAACCTTAAACCCTAACCCTAAACCCTAAGCCCTAAACCCTAAACCCTTTATTTCGTGACCCTTTTTTGGGGGAAGTTAAGGAGCGGCGCTACTCCGTGGGGTCCGAGGCCGGCGTCCCGGCCTGTCTGCGAGGATCTTGAACGGCCTTGGGTTCAGGGCTTTGGGGTTTTAGGGGTTTTTAGAGTTTAGGGTTCTAGGGTTTTTTAGTAAAATGGGTTTTTAGGGTTTTAGGGTTTAGGGTTTCGGGTTTAGGGTTTACGGTTTAGGGTTTATGGCTTTAGGGCTTTGGTGTTTTAGGGTTTAGGGTTTCAGGGTTTAGGGTTTAGGGTTTTAGGGCTTAGGGCGGCGAGGATCTTAGACGGCCTTGGGCTTCTGCTGTTCACGGCCTGGCCTCGCTTGACGCAGACAGAAGATACAGAGGCGGGTGGCTGCTAAATCCTATGGTAACTATGTGGCTCCCTTTGTGTTTTCCGGTTCTCTAAAGTAGGGTCCGTTTTAGGGTCTTTTTGTAAAGGGTGATTAGGGACTTAAAAAGGGACCCTAGTTTAGAGAACTACCCATAGAAGGGACCATGGTTTTTGACAGTTACCCAGGTGCCAGTGGAGGTGGTCCAGTGCCAAAGCCGCGAACAACTGGAGCAACGCTCAGCCTGGTTGTTGGATGGACGAAATGCACGCAACTTCCTCACGGGGCCACTGCATGCCGTATTGCTGGAGTTGCCGGGTATGGGAGCTCGGCTCCACATCGCCGTGAGCCACGGGCTGTCTGATGGCTTTTCTGGGATGCCTTTGCTACAGGACTTCGTTCGCCTCTACGATGCTGAGCTTGCAGGCTCGGCTGTTACTTGTTGTGGCCTGTGACCTATAAAGGAAGGAATGACTGCCTGAATGAACGAATGACCTTCAGAAAGAAAGACAGAATGCATTAACGGAAAAAAGAAAGGACGACATCTCGAACACGACACATGATTGTGTATAACAAGTTCTGTCTTGGAGACGTATCTGACTTCTGCTGTGTGTATATATTACAAATAAGTATATGCATACACAAATATACGTACATGCATGCATGTGCGTGTGTGGGCATGTGTATATGCATGTGTGTGTGTGTGTGCGCTTATGCATGTGTGTGTATATATATATATGTGTATATGTATATATACATATGTGTAGATGTATTTATCTATTTGTATTTATATGTATGTGTGTATATATATATACATATGCACGTACACGCATGTTGTGACACACACACACACAGACACACAGACACACACACAGACACACACAGACACACACACAGACACACACAGACACACACAGGCACA